AGTAACTAGTAATGTAACTAAGTTACTAATTTAAAGTAACTTACCCAACACTGGTCATCATGCACTTACTGACTTTTTCTTAGAGTGTGTTGCAGCTATACCCTGGTGATATTCTTCATGTTCTCCTACAGGCCTCTAAATGGATCCCTCTACAGACTGGGGTAGGTATTTATCTGCTTAGTATCAATCTGGACTTAGTGCTGCCTTCATGTGGGACACTTTGCTAATCCATTTTAGAATGAGAAGGACATAGTACTCAGACAGCTATTATAAAAGCACTTGGTACACAGTTATCAGTCATCAAACAGTATTCACAGCTATCAAATAGTACTCACCATTACCTATAGGGTCTAATGTATGAATCATGAGTTGGAAGATGGTGTTTCTCATTGTGCTGTTGTGTAAAGAAGCAGAACTACCCCCTCGCTGAAGGGATGGCTTCAACTGGGGAAAGAGACGGCTGAGGTCATGATAACTAGTCACTGTACAGATAATAGCACATCACTGTTAAACACTCAATAGTGGATATAGTGGCTGTTTTTTTTTTTCTTAACTAGTGCAGGGAGCCAGCACTTGTCTTAATTATTTAAAAAATAAGACTGTGAGTGTGAAGGGTATAAAGATGTTTTTTGTGACTTTCTTCTTGCAGTTTATTGGTTGATGAATTGATTTTTACCTTTAAACGATTCTTGTCCTCTGGAGCAGGAGGGGCATTATCCTCACCGTTCCCATTAGTCTGTGTGCAACAATGTTTTGTTCAGTGATGATCATTCAGCGGCAGAGATAAAACAAAGTTCATTCTGGCAGATTTTATATTAGTGCTATAATTTAATGCATTACTAGTTCACTCATTGCACACGCTGCCTGACTTGATGATGTCAAAATGCAGAGGATGACAGTATTTTTTATTGTAGTCATTATCCCCATAAAATAATTATTAATTATTCTAAATGATATGAAATAGCATATTCAGCAAAGAATAAAATGTTCTTTTTGGGAGTCCCGCCCTCAAAAACCCCGAGTATGAACAAACCCTTAAACCCTTTACTTGGTGTAAGTTAAGCCTCAGTCACACTGTTTAGGTTTGGACACGCTATACGTGGATGCTAAAGGAGCTATAACTCTGGAAAGCATTCATTTGCTGCAGCTGATTAGCTTTGGGGTGTTTTTGTTTTTATAAAAAAAAATACGTATATATCATGTGATGAAACTGCTTTCTAGTTGCTAATAATAATCCCTACAAAAACCTCTACTAGTTAAATATCTTAAAATCTGCTGATTTATGTCTCTCCAGCAGGAATGCATTAATACCTAGCTAGCATACCTAGCTCTTCAAAAGTTTCATTGGGTTGTTTTCTGTTACCAGTAGTTTATGGGTTTGGGTGAAAATGGAGAAAACTTTTCAATATAGATATCAAACAACAGACTTATTAGTTGTCTGACCGAGGATAAGAGCTTTGATGAATTCTTTAATAGAAGATCTTACCTTGTCAGGTTCCTCTACAGCAATAACTTTGACAATGCTCTTGTGTTTGTGGAGTTGGGTCTTGAATGCTCGCTCTATTTGCACATTAAACTTCATGAAAATGACATAGACAGTGTAACAAGCCACCAGCATCATGCTCTCCCACCACATTATGACATTATCCAGGAAGAAGATAATTAGAAAGATGAGGCCAAGTATGTAGAATGACACATCTCTGAATAGAGGCCACCAGGTCAGATGGAGAATCTCCCGAGAAAACAAAGCACACATTCCAATCACAAACAAAATGTTGAAAACTGCTGAGCCCACAATTGTGCCAATACCCACGTTGCTGTGGGCAATGAAGACTCCTATCAAAGAGGTAAAAAGCTCAGGGGCAGAACCTCCGGCGGCCATGAAGGTGGCTCCAGCCACATCCTCAGAGATTGCCAACTTGTTTGTGATTACCCCGAGAGCAGGAACAAAAAACTCATCACACACAATTGCAAGTGACACAAACATGTACATCATCCCAATAATGTGAAGGATCACCCAGCCACGTCTGCGATCTTCGATTGAAAAAATGTCCTCTGGGTAATCACCCTTCATATGTGGCGCTTCACCCGGAAAGGCTGGTGGGACGGTAGTTGTAGGAGGAGCTGGCGTGGGTGTCTCCGGAAGTTCAGGTGCCACATAGATGCAATGCACAAGAGTCCGATTTGTTGTTGGCAATAATGGCGATTCAGTAGTGGTAGATGTTGTGGATACTGAAGTTGTAGTTGCATTATGGACATCATACGTTGTGTTTGTTTGCTCAGTTTGCTCTAAATCATATGCTGTAGTTAGAGCCTTTCCCAGATCTGCAATCTCCTCAACGCCCTCTGCTGAACCTTCCCCACTATCCTGTGCAATTTGAGGCATTGCCAAAGGCTCGTACAGTCTAGTGCTGATGGTCAGCTGGTAGACGGTACAGAGGAAAACCCCAGAGAGGAGAAAAAGAACTCGGCTCAGCTGCAGTCGCTTCCTTCTGGTACAATACATTTTTCTCCAGCAGCAGTGTTGCTTTTAGCTAGGTTGAAATAAGGTGCATAAATAAAATTTGGTGGAGTCCAGTTCTCTCCCCAGAAGACCATGGGGTGGCAGAATTCAAAACTCCAGCGATGTGACTCATTTCACATCTTCAAATCCATGGAATACCCAGTCTATAGTACAGTAAAGGAAAAACAGGGATAAAATTGCATTTGGAAAGGATATTAATAGTATACACGTATCTCAAGGCATTTGGACTATTCATAACTAAAATTTATCCATTATTATGTGTCATAGTATTATCATGGGGAAAACAATTATTTGTTTGCTCACTTACAACGAAATTAAATCAGTTTTTTTTATGTTAGTTTTAGTTTAACAAAGAGAGACAGAATATCAAACAAAACACATTACATAAAGGTTATAAAGTCATTTGCATGTCACTGAGCGAAATAAAGATTTGATACTTCTGTTCTTAAATAGTTATGTGCATGAAGCACAATCGTCCACATAATCAGTTTCTTCCATTCCAACCTCTGCATTCCCACAGGCTAAAGAGTAAAGTGCTGTCAAAGAATGTCAGGAGCAAGATTACAGACCTGCACAGGGCAGGAATGGGCTACAAGAGCATCAGCAAAAAGCTTGGTGGGAAGGTGACAACACTTGATGTGACTATTAGGAAATGTAAGACACAGAAAATGACCCTCAATCACCCTCTGTGTGGAGCTTCAAAGTAACTCTAATAAAGAAGCCACATGTATAGGCTCATGTGAAGTTTGCCAGTGAAGATCTAAACGATTTAAAGAAGGCTTGGGATAAATTGCTGTGGTCAGATGAAATAAACATCAAGCTCTTTGGCATCAACTCGACTCACCTTGTTTGAAGGAAAATAAATTTTGAGTATGACCCTAAGAACACCATCCCCACAGTCAAACACGGTGGTGGAAACATTATGTTTTGGGTACAGGAGAGATCCTCTCATTGAGGGACAAAAGGACGGGGCTGCGTACCACAAAATCTTGGACAAGAATTTCCTTGCCTCAGCTAGAACACTGAAGAGAGGTTGTGGATGGGTCTTCCAGCATGACAATGATCCAAAACATACAAGGCAACTAAAGAGTGGCTAATTTGTTCTATGTCATTTTTTTCTGGAGTTTTTGTTGATATTGTGTGTCTCTCCATTGGAAAAAAAAAAAAAAACCCATAAATATCAGAGACTGTTTATTTCTTTGAAAACGAGAAAACGAACAAATTCAGCAGATCATCAAATTATTATTTTCCCCATTGTATTCATAGATCCATTTATAAAGTGTTACAGTTACTTTCTTTGCACAATGCTGGTTTCTGCACAACATGAAAGACTAGAGTTGTGATGCAAAATTTAAAGCAAGGAGCCAATCTAATTGCTTTATCCAAAGAGAAGAAAAAGGTTCAGACTTACCAGAGAATGACATCTTGCAAAATCATAAGTGCAAGCATTTCCAAAAACAGGTTTCCACTGTCAGCTATTGTGGCACAAACAAACTGTTGCAGTGGCCAGTGTTATGTATGTAGGACACAGAACAACTCTTCACAATGGATCAGCATAATACCTAATACCTGAAGTCTTCTAAGAGGATTATGTGCGTTACCGCACTCTCACTTGTGAGTATACCTTAGTAATATTCAGTTTAATGCAAAATAAGTTTTTGTTCTGTCTAATGGTATTTTGACACCATGGTGTTTAGAGAAAAAAAACTTTGATGACATAGTGAAACGTGTTATACTGGTGTGTCTACCTTTAAACTTCATATTAAAACATATAAGTACCATATCAACGTGCATTACTGATAAAATGACACGTTCCTTGATGGATTGCTGTTCCGGTGTTTCCAGCATAGGAATATGAAATAGTAGTGCATCTTAAAACACTGTTGCAAGGGCAAATGCCATATTCTGAAAACTAGCCAACCATTAGACTCAGACTGTTTGCAGCTTTCAGTGGTGACTTGATCAGTGATGTCACGTGTATGTGTGATTAATGCTCCCCTAGTGTAGATGAATGCATTTCCATGAGTGAACGCAGCTTTAGCACTGACTCCTCCCATACCTGCTTCCTAATGGGTTGATAATAAAATGCACCTGAAGCCTTTGTTTACGTCCCACTCTCACCGTATATGCACTATATGCTTGCTATCTATCTTGCAGCAAAAGAGGAGGTATCACTTGGATCAAATAAATATGTATTTGGAAAGATGTTCTCGTAAAAGTAAACTTTGGTTTTTGGTTTAATTTTAAAATGTGTGCTGAAATTTAGTAAATAGTTTATAGTTTCATGTTTTTAATCATCTTATGCTACAGACTATACAATACTGCAACTTTACAGACGGTATAATTTCAATTTTTGACATAGCTGCAACTACATATGTGTCTAACTGGTAACTTTTTAATATGTTTTCTGTGAACGTCTGGCATTCATGTTATCCTTGTGTTAATTCTTTTAATTCTTTAAATAGATGCAAAACATACTTACAGACACATCTGAATGAACTACACTCTGTAGTTTTGTTCCCAATCATACACCAAAATTGTAACACATCACTGGTGTAGATACCATCTGGGGTTAAATAGTTTTTTAAATCAAAGCAGTCATTACAAACCAGTTAACAGTGACCAATAAATGAGGTTTATGTGTGAAACTACATTTATGATGATATTGTCAGTTAAGGATTTTTGTGGGCACGGTTGAAATCATTAAATTAATGGGTTTTAAACAAGATAATACACATTTTAGGCTCTTGAAAATGACATAAATACCAAACAGTAGATTAATTTCTTGTCTGATTCAACATAAGAGCTCTGAAAAGGAGAGCTTACCTTGTCAGGTTCCTCTGCAGCAATAGCTTTAAAAATGCTCTTGTGTTTGTGGAGTTTGGTCTTGAGTTTGTGCTCTATATGCATGTTAAACTTCATGAAAATGACAGAGAGTTTAACAAGCCACCAGCATCATGCTCTCCCACCACATTATGACATTGTCCAGGAAGAAGATGATCAGTAC